ATTAATGAGATTTTAAATAAGATTACAATTACATCAGCACTAAAAATGACTCAAAATTTCAGCGTTAATAAAATATCATCGCACTTTCTCTGAACACAACGTAAACTATTGTACTGTTCTATTGTATCCACATTTTAAAGGTGAAATATTCAAGGTTTAGTAAATATTATTAATTTACCATTATCAAAGTGTATCAGGAAAATGAAACAACATTGAATACTTTTCATAAAGTTTAATAGACATTTAAAACTGCCTAATTCAGGAGTATTCATTATTTTAAAAAAATATACAAATAACTTTTACATAACTCTGAACAACATCCATCTTGCTTTGTTTTTCCTACACAGAAAAAGGTATAATGAGATCCATTGCTTGGAAGCTGAACCTAGAAAAATTTAGACTAGAAAAATAAATAGTTACTTACCTTCCGGAACTGTTGTTCTTCGACTTGTGTTGCACACGTCCATCCCACTGTAGGTGCATGCGTGCCTCATGCACAGTTATGGGAGAACATTTTCCCTCAGTCAGGATGGCTTGAGCGCCCTCTGCCACAGTGTGCCACTGCAGAATAACGTGGAGGTGGGCTCGGAGTCTGGCTGGCCAGTGATTGCAGAACAATATGTCCAAAACTGGCATCATTCCTGGACTAATGGGAAATGGCATAACAAGCAGATAAGCATGAACTGATGATCAGGTTGCTGCCTGACAAATGTCTTGAACAGAAACTTGCACTAGGAAGGCCGCTGATGCGGCTTGTGCTCTAATCAAATGAGCTAATACTCTTGAGGGTGGCGTGATATTAGCTGACTGGCAGCACAACTGAATGCAAAAGGAAATCCAGCAGGAAATCTTCAGAGTGGAAACCGATTTGCCGTTCACCCTGTCTGCAATTGCAACAAACAACTGACGACCAAAATGGTTCGGTGCGGTCCCAGGAGAAAGCCAATGCTCTTCTCACATCCATCGAATGAAGCTTTTGCTCATCTGTGTGCATATGAGGCTTGTGGAAGAACATTGGCAAATAAATTTCCTGGTTCATGTGGAAATTGGAAGCCACTTTTGTCAAAAATTTCAGGTGAGGGCATAAGTAAACTCTGTTCTTATGGGCAACCGGGTATGAAGGTCCTGAGACCAAGACTCTGAGTTTGCCCACTCCCCTTGTGAGGTTATTGGAAGCAGAAACACCACTTTCATAGAGAGGTGGAGTAGGGAGTATGTCACAAGAGCTTCAAAGGGAGGCCGCATTAACTTTGTTACCGTGAGGCTGGGATCCCATGGCAGAACAGGTTGTTGAACCAGAGGACATAATCCGTGCAGCCCTTTTAGAAATCTGATTGTTTTTTCCAGCCCCATAACTATCTATTACCCAGTGGAGGGTGGAATGCTGAAATAGCTGCCAAATGTACTTTAATGGAACTAACTGATAGGCCTTGATGGTTTTGGTGCAATAGATAATCCACAATGTGGTTAATGGAAGTCTGCCTTGAACCAGACAGTTTCCATTTGGCCAAATAAGTACACCTAGTTGAAGGCTTTCTGCTCTTCAGAAGCACCTCCTGAATGTTTTTCGAGCAAGTCACTTTTAGTGGTGTTAGCCATGAAGCATCCACGCCATCAAGTGGAGGGCCTGTTGGTTGGGATGGAGAAAGCAGCTGTGGTCCTGCGAAATCACGTCTGAATCTAATGAGAGAGGTGAAAGAGGCCTCACCAACAATGCTAACTGGGTCAAGAGCCAATGCTGGCAAGGCCACATTGGTGCTATTAGATTGAGGCAAGCATGATCCTACCTGGCCTTGAATAGAACTCCGTATAGTAATGGTTTTGGAGGACAGGCATACAGCAGGGAGTTTCTCCATGATAGCAGGAAAGCATCCATCAAAGGTGCAGGGCTGTGGCCCCCTTGTGAGCAGAACTGATGGCATTTTCTGTTGGTCTTTGTTGTAAACAGGTCCACTTGGGGAATTCCCGCAGCTGGAAGATGGACCTGGCCATGTCTGGATGCAGCACCCACTTGTGGTGAGTGGAGAAAGAACTGCCTAGGTGATCTGCCAGTGTGTTCTACTCTCTCAGATGGTAAATCACTTTGAGGTAATGGAATTAGTTATGCAGATCTCCCAGAGTAGAACGGTATTGTCCATTAACACTAGCACATTTTTTCCCAGAATATTTGGGCGGAAGGCTGAACAGGCTAGACAGATAGCACATAGTTCCCAGAGGTTTTTATGAGCCCTCGGCTCCTGTGAGGACCATACCCCTTGGGTTTGTAGGGTTCCAATATGTGCCACCAAGCCAGGGATGAGGCATCTGTGATCAGTGTGAGCACCAGCTGCAGAAGAACAAAGGGGGTTCCCACACTAATATTCTGAGGGCCTGTCCACCAATCCAGGGAGGACAAAACTACCTCTGGAATGTGAATCACTTTGTCTAAACGATGTCAACAGGGGGCATACACTGACGCTAGCCATCCTTGAGGCCTCCTGAGGTAAAGGCTGGCATGCTGTACCACATACATACATGCTGCCATATGCCCCAGAAGTCTGAGGCAAGTGCGCATTGTGGTAATGAGATGCACTTTTCGATGCAATAATAGGTCTTGGAGAGTTTGGAACCTTTATGGGGCACGAACGATCTGGCTCGTGTAGCATCCAGTAGTGTTCTGATAAACTCTATCCTTTGCACAGGTTCTAGAATTGATTTGTCCTGAGTAATACCTCCAGTGCATTGAAGGTCAACTGAATGATGGCCATGTTGGACAGAACTTGAGATTCGGACCTGCCCCTTACGAGCCAGTGTCCCAGGTAGGGAAAGACATAGATTCCCAATCTCCTTCGATATGCAGCTACCGGCACCACGCATTTCATGAAAGATATTGCCTCACCCATCTTCTCTCTCTCACATCCTGGGACCAACACAGCTACAACTCCACTGCATAAAGCAGTTCTTGGTGAGCCCTGTAATGCTCTGGCAGAGGAGAATGGCTCACCATCCCTACAGCCTCACCTGTGAAGGAGGATGAAGACGCTGCGGCAATGGCTGATCTGCTTCTGCTGCAGGAGGAGCTGTCTGAGCAACTTCCAGTTGCTTGCTGCTGGGCATTGGGGAACACTGTGTGCAGTGCTGATGATCTCTGGGCACCCTCGAAGAAGCCAACTCAGACGGATGAGGAGAGGTCCTAGCAGCGGGAGAGACACCTCATGGCATCCAGAATATGGTGGGGGTGGGCCCCATAGCTGTGCCGGCCACTGCCCCTTACTGGGACTGTTGAGACATCCATGGACCCCACAGCTCAGATGGAGGATAAGCTTCCTGTCTGGTATGGGACACAAAAGATCCCACTTCAGAGTCTGATGACGATGACTGAGTGCTGTGACAATGGTGGAGCTGAACCCGTGTGGACAGGAGACAGGTAAATCAAAGCTGGAGATGGCTCTACCAGGGATATTAACAGCGGCTTGCCCCTGGACAATACCAGCCTCCTAGGCACTGGAAGCTGCATTGGTACCGCATGTTTCTGCGGGGCTGGTGCAGGGATTACACTTGCTGATACCAGCTGAAACCCTTCTTGCATTACTAGGGACACTGGTACCGAGAGGGCGTCTAGATTTCTGGCGGCAGCATAGGCTTCCGGTGTCGTCAGTAGTGGAACTGGATCCTGAGTGTGATTAATAGAAATTTCAGGGGTTGGCTTTGATGGACCTGACCCAGGTTCCAGAGTCACCTAACCCCCTTTGCAGGAGAGGAGCACTCTGGGGAATGCGTTCCCTCAGAGTCCCGTGCAGGGGCCCTGCTTTTAGCGGGCCTTGGTACCAAAAGTCTTGCTGAGAGAGGTACCATGTCTTTGGCAGCTCTGTCTCTCCCCTTTGGTACCAGAGACACTGAACGTGGAGCTGAAGACATCTCGGGAGTCATACTAGGCGCTGATGCCCCTCTCAGAGAATGCTCTGAACACGACAGCTTCAATGGAGGGCGAAGTGCTGTCTCCATAAGGAGACACTTAAGCCTCACTGCTGTATTTTTTTTTGACCGCAGCGTATACCCTCTACAAACGTAACACTTGTGACAGACGTGGGCCTCCCCCAAAACTTTAGGCAGCTGGGGTGTGGATTACTGACCAGCATCAGTCTGGCACAGAACGAGCAGGACTTGAACCCTGGGGAGCAAGGCATGGCTCTGGTCCTGAAAACCAAATCTGGTCCAAAATGCACCTAGCAGCTAAAAGCCTACTTTTAAAAGCCTACACTACCACTAACTATATACTAAATAAACTCACTCCTAAGCATTCAACGAGAAACACACTATAAACAAAGAGTGAGAGAGATAAACTTGCGACAGCAAGAGTGGACGCACTCCTACAGGCACTGGCGATAGAAAGAACTGAGGGGTGGCTCTGCCCTCTTATATCGGCGCGCGTGGCGACAGAGGGGTTCAACCCACCCCAACAGGTACTACTGAGGGGAAAAGTTCTCTGAGAACTGTGCACAAGGCACACACACACACCTACACTGGAATGGACATGTGCAATCACTCGAAGAAGAATAAGGCAAAAACTTTTAACAGTAAGGGTAATTGACCACTGGAACAACTTATTAAGGATGTGGAGGATTCTCCATCACTTGGAGTCTCTAATCAAGAGACTGTGTCTTTCCAGAACGCATGCTATGGCTCAAACTGAAGTCATGAGTTATTGCAGGAATCACAGTGTGAGATTCTCTGGGCAGGTAAGTAGGAGGTCACATTCAATGATCACAATGGTCCCTTTTGGCCTTAAAAATCCAATAATCTACTAAATGAGTTTATCTTCAGAGTCTAAGTTAATATAATAATAATAATAATAAGAGGTTATTTATGCTAAAAATTAAAGAAAGGGTCTTATTTTCAGACGTGCTGAGTATCCACAACGCAGATTACCTCTCTGGAAGCCATGATGGGAATTACAACTTTGAGCACCTTTGAAAATTAAACGTATTTGGGTACCCAAATATGAACTAGAAATGTTGGCTTAATTTTATTGGTACGAGCACTACAGAAGTCCTTACCCTGGGAGTAGACTGTACATTATTTAGAAAGTCTAGGGGGGAGATAGAGAAGAAAGACCAAGAATTCTTCAGATAGCCTCATTCTAAAGTATGAATAAATATCAACCTACTACACCATGGTTAACACTCGTAATGTATTATATTGTGGCTTTTTAAACAGTCACAATTAGAGAACACAGTAAAATTGTTATACTTTTACTGAAAGGAATATGTCTGAACCTGTATCTATTAAGACTAATTGATTTTATTTTTTCTGCTGTCACACATAGGTTTTAAGAGCTCCTCCTCTCCTCTGCCTACCCTTATGATTAGGGAAACGGGAGAAGAATTATTAACCATAATGATAGAACCACTCTCCCGTTCGCTTGCAGATATCATGAGAATATACACATCAAAAATGAACAAGTTAGGTTTGGACCCTGGCAGTTAAAGGCACTCGTAAACACTTTCAAGAGTGAAAAAAGCCCTCCTTTAGAAACATTCACTGTCATGCAGTACACTGCAAACATGCATACTCAGCTTTGTTAAAGCATTGTAGCAGAATTTGGAGATAACCTGGAAACACAAGGAATGCAACATCGGGATTCTGAGTGATGAGGAATTCCTAACTCCTCAGTGAATGTTTGTTGCAACACTTGTGGCCCTTATTCACCAAATACTTCTTTTTCAAAATAATTTTTTATAGTAGACTTTTACACTTCACTGAAAACAAAACTATGCTTGCAATGTTTGCATTCCACTGTGAGAACTTTAGTCAAATATGACAACTCATTTGATGTAAGTTAAAATATTACTAGCCTGCAATACAAAGAAATACTTAATAAACTTTAAAAGAAGACTCTTGAGTAGAAACAAGGGATTCTCTAAAAATGGCTGAGGGAGAAGAGGTTTCATTCAGTTTCCACTGGAAACTGCAAATGAAGTTCCTCCAGACTGAATGGTTATAGAATGTCTATACACACTAGATACGGTGTGCTACTTTCATTCATACTTCTGAAAATTGGAACATTTAGGTAAAACTGCATAAGACGGCAAGAAATATAAGGCAGTTAACACACTGGGCCCCAGATCTTTCTTAAACTGGAGTTAATGACAAATGATTCCATTACAAAAACAACACACTGCCACCCTAATTGGCTGAGATCTATTATACTGTGCAAATCTTTAAACTTTTTAGAAAAGTAAAATCTATACAAACTTGGGTGCATGTATTGTACTATATTGTGCTAGGCCTAACTTCTAGTAATTCTGGAAATATTCTCTTCCTGAAAAAGTGACCAGAAGCCGAGAGTACCAACACTACCTTTTCCCATCTGACTCTTTTTCACCAGAACAACAATTCTTACCAGCACTTTGCATGCTTATTCTGTCCTTCAGCAGCACATCACTGAGAATTTGTCGATAAAATATCAAGAGATGAATGTAGCACATACTGCCAATTAATGTTTCTGGTAGCAGACTGTTAGAAAGAGAAATAAAAAGTTATAGATTTGTTTCCAAAACAACTCATGCAATGCATTCCCATAAGGTGGAAAACATATTATAGCCATATCAATGTATGTGAATAAACATATATTATATGAAGTTACAGGTTCACAAAGCCATCACTATGATCATGTGCTTTATGCATAGACTGTGAGAAGCAGTTCGGTGCCACCAATAAATGACTGACTGTTTAAAGCAGGAAAAAATGGAAAGCTAGTCAAAAGTATTGTGAGTTTGATTGTGTAAATGGAAGAACAGTCATTAAAATGCACATCTAATTTCAGATTTTCCCCAGGCAGCAATATATTTAAACTCTACACAGGAGACACTTTGGAGAGACTAAATTGTTCTTTAAAGGGTCTGATTCTTCTGATGAAGTCCATGGCAAAACACCCATTGATTACAAAGGGGGAGGATCAAGCCTTAATTGCCAAATCAGTTTATATAACAACTGCTGCAGTATTGCCAGTCTAAATTCAGATCCCACTCTTAAAGAAGCTTACTCTCCAATACAAAGTATAAATTATGTACGAATCTTGAAATAGTAACCATGTACATTCTAAGGGCCAAAGGAGTTCTCCATGTGCCTATGTTTAATTCACACACATGCCACATGCTGACCTTTCCCAAAGCACCAAAAAATATTCTCTTGACTTCCAAAGTCTGGGCCAGATCTTCAATTGGTGTAAATAGCCTTGGCTCCCCTAGCTTCAACCCGATATAAACCCAAAGACTTGTATCAAGTTTGAACCCTTAAGTGCCTCCAGTTTTACACTTTGGGGGAAGGGGCTAAAGAACTCTAGTCCTTCAAACAGAACACCCCAACTCTGTACTTCCAGAGGCAAAGCAGAATGTGAAGCCAATTGTTCTCTATATCATAGTGATGCCACCAAGTAAGCCACCGTATCTTCTGTTTTATAGGAGAGTGTATTTGGCCACTTTCTTCCATTAATGCCACTCCCATTTTTTAGATTCTCCATTGAATCTGTTCTAGGGAAGGAGGATCTTGTCTTGAGAGAAAAATCACAGTGGGCCAATAATATGTGATAACTCACTATCAACATTTGTAGTGTTGCTAAGGAAATTAATCTTAAGGGAGCTAACTTCTTTGATTCCTCATCCTTTGCGGTGGTCTTGTGAGTTCTTTCTGGTCCTGCTTTCATTAGCAGGTGACTCCACTATGATCATTATATAACCCTGTACCACACATTCAGTTCTTTGAGGGGAACATACGTAGCCTCAATGGTCACTGTTTTCTATAGAGATTACACTTCTGGAGTAAGCACTCTCTCCACTAGGGGACCTATAAAGAGGAAGGATGCTCTTGTACTTAAGGCAGTGGACAAGGACTCGGGAGCTAGCTTCAGTTCCCAGTTCTTTAGTTTTCCTGTGTGACCTCAGGGAAGTCACTCAATCTGCCTGATAACAATACTTCCCCCACTCATGAATTGTATGGTTTGATTAACATTTGTGGAATATGTGTTTATACTATGGTAATTGAGGCTATATAAGTACATAGACAGAGAGCTTTCGAAAACAAAAAACCACAGACAATACTTGGTGATCAACTTTTTCCAGTTATGCATTACATTAGAATTGATCCACTGACACAAATTATCATGGACAGATCTTCACGTTATTTTTACACACATAGAACACTTACTTCAGGATGCCTTTTGATCGTGTGCTTAATGATCTCAGTTTCACGAGAAGTTGAGGCTGTTTCTTCAGTGTTATCATCTGATGGAAAACACCACTGCTTGCTTAAGACATAAACAGTTGAAATTAGCTTCAAAACATCTGTTTTCATTTTTGATGTTTGAGTATTATAAAATGAGAAGGCACATTTAAATATGCACATGACAAAGTGAAGCTAAGTTTCCAAGTCCACTTTTCAAGCATGAAAAGGAAACTTCCTTTCTGATACTGAACCAAGAAAAAAAATCATTTAAAATTAGCACATTCTGAAGTCAACATCTCCTAAGTGCACTTGCATAAACTCATGATCTAGGCAGCAAGTACCAAAGAACTTTTTTCTGATTTGTTTTAAATATATGCGTAGCCTTGGGTGCATCTTATGCTTGAGAGAGGCATAGCACAGTCAGTGTTTATCTATGAAGAGAAGCTTGGCACCAGTGTATGATTTTTCAGTCAAAGTAGAGACATATGCTCTTTCAGCCTGTTGATCCGGCCCTTGAAACAATGCTGAGAAGGGGAGGGGCAAATGAGATAGAACAAAGAAAGAGAAGAGCTGGTCATTGGTTTGGAGGGAGTCAGGCGAGGCCGAGGTTGTCCACACCCTGCAACAACAAGCACCTCTGGCAAATTGGGTTTATCACAGCGAAGGAGGAACACTGGGGGCACCCCTGGGTTAAAATATCGACAGTGCATCATTTGAACCCACTTACGGTGAAATTTCATTTACTGCAATGGAGGATATGCACACACACACACACTACATATTCCATAACAAGTAACTTATTTAAGGCTGCTAAGTGCAATTCAAGAAACAACACACTATTGTACACATCCATTTAAACAAACAAACAAACAAACCTCAGCCATTAAAAATCATGGAACTCTTAAGACAAGGTAAGAGTAACATCGACCTAAACAATTATGACACCAGCCAATGTTAACATCAAATTCACTCAGACACATAAAAAGAAGAATTCTCCTAGCCAGCACCCAAACAACCTCTCTCCGCCCCTTCATTGTGGTACTATTTAAAGGATAATTTAATGGAAGCTGGGTTGTGCCCTCCACTGCTAAGGTCCATTTAAGAGAATCAGGGCATGGACAGCTTATTTGGAAGGATATGTCATAAAAGAAAAAGTTTGCCATCTCTTTGAGGTAACCACATTTTGGTGTGAGTTGAAGCCAAGTATGAATAATGTGGGTTATCACAAAAAAGTGGCAATAAAAATCCATCATCATCTTGCCACTTATTTGTTTTATTACCCGTCTCTTCCTGCTCGTCTCCATTTGAAGGACATAACTGTAGATACTATAGATAATGCTGATAATACATTGGCATGAATGACGATCAGTAACAAGTTTAGAATAAAGTCAATTTCCTCATTGTTTGTAAAAGGAAGCGGTTTATGAGCTCATGCCCGCTCGTTTCCCTCTCCCTGCGATTTGCCAAAGGGACTCTGAATGTCAAGCATAGTTACACGCTCCACTCAAAACCTCAGAGGATTTATAAGCTTGCAAGGTTGCAAAATACAGTAACCAATTGTTGTGTCATTTCATTTATGTAATGTACATGTGAAACTGTACCTCTTCTTGATATTGATGGGTCCACCTCAACACCCCGCTCATAGGGTGTGCCACCATTCAAAAGAAGCTCATATGTCCTGTAAATAAACAGTAATGTACTTTAATAAACATAATCAGGGGAAATGAAAACAATAGCATCACTTTTCTCTGAAAATGAAAACTGGATCTCTTTTCTTTAAAAATAAGAGTGATCTTTGCTTTATTATTAATATTTTAATAGGAGCTGATTTTGCTTAATCACTCACAACAGTTGAAACTCAAGAAGCAAGCCTGAAGATTCTCTTTTACAGTAACAAATGAGCCACATTTCAAAACAAGTACTAGCAATAATTCTCTTAAATGCAAGTCCAATAGTGTTGTTTAAAATGAAATATAACAAAAAATTCATCATGTTTTCATTCCCAAAAACCTGTATTTCTGCAGTCTGAACAAAGGTCTCTTCTCACTCACATTTTCACAAATTGCAGTCTTCATCTTGTGTCAATTGTATTTGTTCATTCAAACCGCAACCAAAGGTATGTATAAAATACATTTTAATAATGTGAAACTGATTGTGTTGACACTGCTCAATCATTCAAAGATGACATTTCTAATGGACAATTCTAGACTCAACTTTCTGACATTTCTCATGTTTCAATAAATTAGGTAACTTAACAGGCACAAGATTTCTGCTCACTTACTACTTGATACTTCTACTACTACTTGAGAAATTTTAAAATTTGTATAACTTAAGTTAGGCTCCTAAATCCACACTGACTTTGGTGCCTAAAGTCAATCTCCTGAATCCATATTTAATTTAGGCATCTAAATGTTAATTCATGAGTCAAACTTTAGCCATCAAAGCTTGAAAGTTTTCATCCTGAAGATAAACATTTCGTTTCAAAATTCTAGACACTGTTTAACATCACTGTGTTAGCAGCAGGGCAGGACATGAGTCTTATGGAAGGATCACCAATACACTAAGAGAAAAGAAATGAGAAGAAAACTCTTTTCTCTTGCGCTGTATGCTTTTTATTGTTAAAAGGAGTATTGACAGAGCGGACAGTAGATTTCTTTTTTATTCTTCAAAGTTCACTTCATCTTCTACCCTATTTTACTCCATTTGTCAAAGCAGATATAACATTTGTGGGAGACAGAGCAAACAATGCAATTAGCCACTAAAACATTAATTATGCACAGTAGGAAAGTGCACATCTATGAGCAAGATTTTTTTTAAATGGTTTGGACCAATTTAGATTTGAGCCAGGCTAGATTGAGCCATATTTCAAATAGCTCAGTGTATGTTACTATACTTTACACATCCATTTAGCAAGTGTGATACCTCAGAAGCTGCTGACGGAGTGAATATGTAACAAATGACCCCACGTTTCAGTTCTAATCCCATTCCATTCAATTATTCCACTATTATGTCCTTTGGCCTAATTTAACTCAAACTAGAACATGTGGTGAGAAAGGCATGCCTTACGGGGCACTTTCTTGGGATGAGCCCACGGAGTATAAAACTAAAAGAATGTCAGTGTCTGAAAGTGTTAAATTGATTAGTCAGTTTTGTCTTGTCTGGCCTTCTTTACTGAAGTACTGAAAGAAACAAACTGTATGTTTATAGCAGTGAATGTTGGGCAACACTGTTCATACTGGAGTAAAATCCCAACTCAAAATGACTTCACATCTCACCTGAGGAGGTTGTGAAGGCTAGGACTATAACAGCGTTTAAAAGAGAACTGGATAAATTCATGGTGGTTAAGTCCATTAATGGCTATTAGCCAGGATGGGTAAGAAATGGTGTCCCTAGCCTCTATTTGTCAGAGGATGGAGATGGATGGCAGGAGAGAGATCACTTGATCATTGCCTGTTAGGTCCACTCCCTCTGGGGCACCTGGCATTGGCCACTGTCGGTAGACAGGATACTGGGCTAGATGGACCTTTGGTCTGACCCGGTACAGCCGTTTTTATGTTCTTATGTTCTATCATTTTAGGGTTGATGCCATTTTGGAAGGAGAAGAAAGGAATGTGCACCTATATGAGAGAAGGACAGAAAGTGCAGATGTTGATAATGCAACCCAGAGGTGTGTCTGTTTGAATAATTTTGCTCTTAGAAACTGCACACTTATTGCTAACATTTCAAATCGATATAATTTATTCTCTTTGTAAGGAGGGCTAGCCATGGCATTGGAATGTGGTGAGGTTATAATTCCAGTACTTAAACTAGAACATCACACACATATACTAAAACCAAGGTAAAAAATAAAGCACATTAGAGAGTGGTTCGCTATTCAGATGGTCAAATTACTCAGACAATTAGGACTAATTTGATTTTCCCCTCAAAAGCTTGAAGCAATTGCATGGAATATGGGGGTGGATAGCCCAAGTTAAGCCTATTTGTGTCTTGTTCAATTCAGCCATTTAAAGAGCTTTGGTAAATTTTCTCCTGTGATTGTTTTTATCTGTTTAGGTTTTTCTGCTCCATCCATCATCAACTGATGAGAACATTTCACAACTTTTTAAAACAAAACAATCTCCCTCATTCTGTCCCCTTGGATGGGTGGAGTAAATTGCTTGTTTTTATTTGTGTTTAGTTCTGCTAGCAGTGAGAGCAGTGTCAGTCCTTTCTTGTAGTAGTGAATTCCACAGTGTTTTTAAACAAACAAATATTACCCTGCAGCATTTTGAAGCACTAAGGACCTATAAGTTACAGGACGAGGGACTCCATCCTGAGAAGCAGTGATTCTGAAAATGATTTGGGAGTCATGGTGGATAATCAGCTGAACATGATCTCCTGGTGCAATGCTGGGGCCAAAAGGGATAATGCCATCCTGGGATACATAAACAGGGGAATCTTGAGTAGGAGTAGAGAGGTTGTTTTACCTCTGTGTTTGGCATTGGTGTGACCACTGCTGGAATCCTGTGTCCAGTTCTGGTGCCCACAGTTCAAGAATGATGTTGATAAACTGGAGAGGGCTCAGAAAAGTGCCACAAGAACAATTAAAGGATTGGAAAAAAATGCCTTATAGAGTCCTAGCGCTTAAGGCCAGAAGGGACTTCCTTTATATCACAGACCTCTAATCAGACCTCCAATATATCACAGGCTACTAACCACCACCCAGCACCCGCACACTAAATCAACAACTGAAATTACTTGGTCCTGCTAGTGAAGGCAGGGGGCTGGACTTGGTGACCTTTCAAGGTCCCTTCCAGTTCTAGGAGATAGGATATCTCCATTAATTTATTTTAATTTATAATTTATTTATAAATTAGACCAAAGTATTACAGCCCACAGAAGACTACACCATTATGTGCCACAGGCAGAGCATAGGAGAGACCAAGGCCAATGGCACAAAAATGATTAAGTTAGATATACCTAGAAAATCCTGGCACATGACCCACACCAACACTCTGCAGAGGAAGGCAAAAAACCTCCACGGTCACTGCCAATCTCATCTGGGGGGAAATTTCTTCCTGACTGTAAGGATCCACAAACTGGAACCCACGTTTGCAGATCTTGAGACGGCTAACGTTCTCACAGTGCCACTGGGAGGCCATGTAGAGCCCTAGCCAGGGTACATAGGGAGAGGAGCCACAGGAAGTATTGTACCGCCCAAAGAATCCAGAGTGACAATACTCTGCAGACCTCTGATTGGCCAATCGCACTATTTAACCCTGGAGGGTGCCCCAGGAAGCTGTCTGGCCAACCCACGCAGACGTCTGGCCTGGTGCAACTCCAGACCTCACCTCATCTCCTGATCTCCAGTCTCCGACCCCAGCTCAGCTCGGACTCTTGCCTCCTGACTCCAGCCGGTGCTATCTCTGATCTCCAGTCTCTGATGCCAGACTGACTCTGATTTCAACACTTGCTTTTGGAACCCGGTCTTAGTGATTCCCCAACCCCTGCTCACCAACTACATTTCTTGATGTGTGAACCCCAGCTCAGCTGTGACTGCTGAGCCAGACTGCCCTCACCCTGGTCCCCTACACTGACCCCACTTATGGTGATCAGTTAGCCCCAGAGCATGTGACCAAGAACCAGCCTGCCAAGCATTGAGAGAGAGAGAAATGCTTGATGCCATCTCAGAGCCATGACACACCCTGTCCAGTGTTCCATCTCCAGCTGTTGCCATCTCTGATCCTTCAAAGGAAGGAGACCAAAAAACCCAGAATACATTGCGGGGGATAGAGGGAAAGAATCCCTACAGGTGGCTGGCTGAAGCCCAGAAGCATAAGCTTTTGGAATATTAGACATAAATCTGTAAACAAAAGACATAACGATAGGAGTTCAATCTATTCAATTTAACAAAGAGAATGTTAAGGGGTGACTTGATCCCAATTTATAAGTACCTGCACAGGGAACAAAAATTTAATAATGGTCTTTTCAGTCCAGCAGACAAAGATTTAACAAGATCCAAAGGCTGGAAGTTGAAGCTAAACAAACTCAGACTGGAAACAAAGTACAGAATTTTAAGTGAGGTTAATTAACCATTGGTACAACTTACCAAGGGCTGTGTGGATTTGCCATCACTGACCATTTTTAAATCAAGATTGGATATTTTTCTGAAACAAATTCTCTAGTTCCAACAGGAATTAATCCAGAGATGGGGTGCTAAGGACTAGATGATCACAGTGGTCCCTTCTGGCCTTATAGACTATGGATCTATGAAAAAGTTAAAGTGACCAAATTGATTTTCACTGTCTAGGCCAAGATAAATGCAAAAATATAAACTGAGTGTCAATGGGGATTAATCAATTGGATTTTAATTTTTTTCCACTTAACCTAATATCTCTGTAGTAAGCTAGATCAAAAACAATCATTTGCAAAATACACTTGCATTCCGGTTTTTGGATACTTAATTTTGAGCCTTTGAGGGGTGGATAGTTAGGACAAAAACATGCTGATTAGAAGTTCCAGCATCACCTGAATATTAGAATCCCAAATCGGATTAACTTTTCTGCAATTAAATACACAGGCCCTTATATATACAGTTAATACATGTGAAATTCCAGCTCTACTGCTAACTGCAACAAAAATTTGTACATCAAAAATGCAAGCAAAAGTATGAGTTTAAAAAAAAATCCTCATACTCTGAGAGGAAAATACAGCCAACTTACTTGGAAGAAACTGGAATTCCACTGGAGTCGAAGAGTTTTAGAAATGCCCAACCACAGCTTAACTCTCCTCTTTCACCAGTTGACTAGAAAGTAAGAGAAGAATAAAACTTCTTATTCAGCCAGCTAAAAATAGAAAACCTAAGAGATGAATGACACTTTGTGGAACCACAGATAAAAGATCTCCCTTAAAAATATGAAAGGTTCCAGAACTATGTAAATGTACCTTGAAAATTTCAGGGAATTGGGTATTGATCACAACATTTTTGAGTGTCTTTTGCCCTAACCTTGTGTTTGTTATGTATGTGTTTACATGCAACTAAAAAGTTAAATAGAGATTATGGGCCTGATTTTCAAATAAAGGTTGGGCTGGAATTAGACAATTGTGCAGCTATTACCACATGAAAATATCTGTCCAATTGTGTGTCTGAAGTTACCCTTAGTCTACGGTGAACTTAAAAAAATACAAACAACAAATCCACTCACCCACAGGCCTTTGAAATTACATTACCAGACAAACAACAATCACCACCAGTTAAACTGGAGCTGAGGTTGAGAATTCATAACAGTAATTTAAAAGTTACAAAACCTTACAAAAATGTTGTAATTATAAAAAACAAACTTTAGAAAGCCAGGAAATGCAAAGATAAGATTAATTCTAAAGAAAGCAAGACATTAAAGACTTGCCTACACAGAACCAGCAAAGCACACTGGGTTAACATGACTAGGTTAACACAAACTAGGTACCTTTTAGAGCACACCGGCAGGGTCTACATGGGGAGGGTAGAGTGCAACACATTACTGCACTTCACATATCTCACCCCTCTGGCATACTTTGCTGCACCATGTAGACAAGCCCTCAATAAGGAAATGCATAGTTGTAAAGCCTCCAAACAACCTTTAGTGATGCGCTGAGAAAAAAAAGTAATTGAGTGAAGCTTATCAATCTATAACAACCATTTTTACGATATCATGACCACAAACACTAGAATATTTTACTTGTAATGGCGGCAGCGTTGCTTGGTGGTTAGAACACTGGACTGGGACTCGGGACTCCTGAGTCCCATTCCCAGCTCCATCACTGACCTGCTGGGTGACCTTGGGGGAGTCACTTTGCCTCTCTGTGCCTCAGTTTCCCCATGTGTAAAATGGAGATCCTGATCCCTACCTTCTCTGTAATGTGCTTCGAAATCAACAGATGGAAAGTGCTATACAAGAGCTAGGTATTATTAAGACCAACAGGGTGTTTGCACAAACTCTAGCCCTTGTACAACCATATTCTAGCCACACATCCTTAATAAAATCCTGACTAGACAAATAGCATAATGAAGGCCATCATTCCCCAACAGGCCCCTCCAGACCGCCAATAATCAAAAGACACAGAGCTAGTCTATTTATATATACAATTCTCCTAGACCTAGACCATGAAATTATACCTGCTACAGGGAAAAAATCACAGTTAATGTGGTGACTCAGCAGAGCGGGACTATATGACCCATGTTGAACTTGCTATATTCTGCCCTGAAACAACGGCAAAAAGTACTGTTAGACTGAGGAACAAGTGATTCTTCAGAGCCAATATTTCATGAACCATCAGAAATGACAGCGAAGAATCTCTGCTTTCCAGTGGTGTAATTATTTGTTTTTATATCTCAGAGTTCATGGGAGCTCATGCCGCTGATAACTGGCTCTCTGCACATCACCTTCTAAGTACCAAATCAGACAGATAGTAACCACTGGAGCTAGAAACCAGTATGTTATACATTTTTGAAAGAGTTTGCAATTTCAGCTTTCAAATTATATAAAAGATTATTCTTGAACAATTTGATTATGAGCTATTAATCATGCCAAAATTAGAAGGCAATGGGGAAAGCAAGATGATAACCAGAATGATAAGAAATTGGTCCTTAATAATTACAATGCATGTCAGATCTTTGGAAGACCAGTAAAAATGCTTTCAGGCCAAGTAAAACTTTCTGATGACCAGTGATCAGAAAGAGAAAGTGTTCTGATCGCTAAACAAGGAGCGAAAACTACCTTTCTATTCTTCCACAGATGGTAGTGGATGGGGTGAGATGGAGGTTATACCTTTTCTGTGGATTAATAGGATTTCAGTTTCCACTGCTGTCAATCTAACATTTGACTAGCACTAAAAATCACTTAAAAAAACTAGTAAAGCCAAGGAAAATAAAAACAAAAAGTTTTCTATTGTACTATGATTGTTTGATGTTGAGATTCTGGAAGTAATAATAATAAAACATTCAGTTTTGAAAATGTATCCATCTTTATATGCTTACATTGCGAATATAAGTGATGCCAAGTTCAAATAATATACCAATGTCTGGAGATGAAGAATTGGACCTGATAAAGCAGTCACCATCAAGCAGGCTGGGTAAAATGCCTGTTACCTAATAAATTAAAACAAAAATAAGGTGTGAGTGTAGATCTTCAAGATTCCAATTTTTAAAAACCTCTGAACACATTGATTCTAGGATCTTCTGTAAAAGACTCAATCTCATTATTCATCACTATCTTTTAACTAAAAAGATTGAATTTAAGGCAAAAAATACTATTCTCATTCTGTTTTTCCATAAAAGGCTGCTAATCTGTAAAAGTAACTCCTTTAGTAATGATTGGCTCTCAAAGCATTTTATAAATAAGAGACGATTTTGCCCACCAGAGAAACACAGCCACCGCTGGAGTTAACATACAGCAGTTCTTTGATAGCGTACAGTGATCCTACACAACATCAGTTTAAGGCAGGTTATCAGTCAGAAGCTGTGATAACGAAAATACAAAGAAAGTTTATTCACAGCAGCACTCTCCTCCTTCCCATTGCTAATAACACATTCTAGTGTTCAAGTTTATACTGATTCCAAGCACAGAGTGCCACCTGCTGAATAACTAACACCCGTTCCTCACAGCATTTCCTTGGTACACACACAACTTTATTTGGCAGGATTCGATTTAAATTGACAGATGTTGTCAAATGTCGATTTCAACGTCACACTGAAATCAACAAAAAAAAATTATCCATAGGCAACAGACAGCACAAGTACATCCTCCGCCGCGCACCGTGTGCCTGCAAGCATGGCATGTCACCGGCCCTACAGCAGCACAGAGAGCTCTCGGCTGCCCTGCTGTCATGTGACTGCAGAGCTGCATGGCTACAGAGCTGGTGACAATGGAGCTCTGCAGACGCAAGGTGTGGGGAAGGCTATGGTCTTGGCCTGGCCAGAGCAGAGACCCCTGGCCAGGCCCTGGAGGAGAAGGACAAGCCCTCAGCCATGCGGGAGGCCATCCTGCTGCTGAATGGCTCCTCCCAAACTCCAACGCTATCTTCCATTAATTTCCCACAACTGTAAAAATAAAAATAATTAAGAATTGAAAAAAAGAATAAAAATCAATATTGTTGAAACCGAAAAAAAATGGAATTCTGCCAAGCCTACACCTAATTAGCTAATAAAACCTTATCAGTTCCCTGATTAGCTAATAAAACCTTATCAGTTCCCCTCTGAGGCGGTGCAGCTGTGGGCCTTACAACATTTATCGTATCTTAGCTATACGGTACTTGTGACCTTAGGCATGTCACTTCATCTGTGTGCATCAGTCTTTCCATAGGTAAAGCAGGAATTATAATGCATGCATGAATTTTGTAGAGGTTTTGAGATCTATGGGTGGAGACTGCCAGGTATTATCATCAACATCAAACTGACCCAAACTGAAAATGTATTGGTTAGATCTGTTGGCCGAGAGAAATTGCAACAGTCTTGACTTAAGTGAGCCAACAGCGATGCTGTGTTAGGGCCCAATCCTGCAAACACTACCAAGCATTGTGCTTGATCACCATGAAGTCACTGGGATTACTGGGTACTAAGTACTATACTTGATAGCAAGCGTTTGCAAGCTATGGCCCTTCATTCAGACCTAATGCTTTTGAGGGCTAAATGCCTCAGGCACAGTACAGATTAGTCCCATTTTTACCTTTCTAATATATGAAGAAAATGTAAGAAGACTAAAAGTGAGATGAACCTATTGGCTGACAACATCTGAGTATGCTGTATTACAACTAGCAGACACACACACATACTGGCCAAGTCCATTTGCTAGGCTATATACCTACCCGTGGAGAGAAGGTCCATGTTTTGGGATTTTTAGGTTGCCATGTAGCTCTAACTGTATGAATGTTACTCAGTACCTAAAACGAGAGAGGAAATTATGGTGGGGAAAATATTAAAAACTAGTTTTCTGGAAAATTATGTAGCTCTAAGAAAACATAGGATCATGCAAGGCTAGTCCAGCACTCAGCATTGCAATGCAGGATCAGACCATGTCTGTCCTTCACCCTTCTTAGCTAGGACGTGTTAAGAACACTGCAGAGGAATCCCACTCCCTGAAAGAAGAATCCAAAAAGTGACTGTAAAAAATAACACATACTCAGCAGATCTGTTTCTTGTGTGTAAAAAGCATCACAAATGGGTTAAATGAAATTGGTAACATTTTCAAAAGAACCTAGGTGACTTAGACATTAAGTCCCATTTTCAAAAGTGACGGAGGCATTTACAAGTCCAAGTGCCATTGCCTTTCAATGAGACCTGGGCTCCTAAATGTTTCAGTCACTTTTAAAAATGGAACTTAACCTCCTCCATCACTTAGGCACTTTTGAAAATTTTACCCATAAGAAGAGGCAGCCCAAATGTGATCATTTTAAATCCATTCAAAAATCCCTTAAATACAGCATGTTTTAACTTCACTGTTTCGGGAATGTTACATTTTATTGCATCAGAGCAACTCACCCTGTTACCATCAAAAAGACAGAGTCGAACATGTCTACTGAGAACCTGTATGCTCACTCCTGGAAGAGGAATCATTTTACAACTCCATAAAGTTAAAATCAGTGATACTCGAGTTGGTCTTGGCTGAATCTGTGAAGCCGACAAAATAATAAAACAGAGAATTAAATCTACATGGTCCTCCTAAATATAGTATAATGATGTGTTTTAGTGTGTGTGTGTGTGTGTGTGTGTGTGCGTTTAGGATTTGTGACAGGGGTCACAGTGCCATGGAGACTGGATTACTCTATCCACAGAACAGGTATAGCACAAGGCCAACAGCAAAGCTTTTCTGCAATATCTCAACCCTTTTGTGAAGAGACCCCCTCTAAGGGACAACAGTCAGTCTCCATGCCATTCAGCTCTTGACCATTCTGCTCAGACAACACGTGTGCTAATTAATGTTAAGTGTGATGGTGCTTTTATGAACACAGGTCTACCAGGGTCTGGCTTGAGACCAGCTCTATTTCACCTCCATCAAGTCATCAAAGTATTTTTATAAAAAGCCATCTAACAAGCCCTGGCAAAAAGCACTGTCAAGTTACAATTAAGGTTGTACACAGGCCACTTATTTGCACAACACAAATTGTTTTTAATAATGACAAACATCTGAAGCTTATCTACCATGCCACAATGGGCAGGATACACCACCACCACCCACTCACCCTTCAGTTTTGTCCACAGACCCACACTCCAGATACAGGCCAAAGTTCAATACTCTTCCATGTCCATCTGGAACATGTACCAGGAGTCTGTGTCCTATAATGTACCCTCAGACAAGACACAGGGCTGAGAACATCCTGTCTATCCAATGTAAGCTGGAATGGTTGGTGCAGATCATCTCTTTGTCTTATGGCAATGACATTATATTGTAATTCACATCCATAACGTGGAAGATGCAAGTTAATTTAATGTGTCAAACAGTAGGTTCTCCCACTGATAACAAGATAAGCAAAGACCCAGGAGGAAGTCTGGCATTTCAATTTTCTGAGCTACTCTCTTCTAAATGCCTGGCTTACACACATTTTTGCCACTACAATATTCAAATGATGTTGCAAAGTTATGTTAGAAAATGAACCAAAACCTCACAGTGAAAAACAACTACTTAACTGAACCAAGGGATTTCACAGTGTCAGACAAAAGGTTAAGATCTAACTAAAAGATTTGTACAGCTGTTTCACCTGGAAGACTGGAAAGCAACAGGTATGCTCAGCTGGAATTGGTCTTATCTAGGGTCTGACATCACATGTTTCTTTTGATGTTCTGGCTGTCAGCTAGTAGGATGAGATAATATCGACTGCCTGGAATGCCCTGGCGTGACATAGAATGTTAACATTTATCTCACTTCAATATTTACTAATAACATGATATTTGTTTTCTGGGCTCTGGACCTCTTCATCTAAAGACTCTGGTCATCTATCCTAAAAGCGACAGCATTCAGAACTTTAATCAACAGAAATTACTTACAGTGTCTTTTTCGGGGTTCCACACTAGGTCTTTGAAAGCCAATTGTGAAGGAGTCAATTCAGGCTGTATGAAATAACTGGCTTGAAACTGATTCCCTAGAAAATCAACGTTTTAACATTTTATTATATTGTTTACACTCCCTCACCCATCTCTCCTAATGGCAGAGATTCAATTTAGTTAGAGATTTCATCATTACAGGGAAACATCCATCTATGGAACACAGTGTTTTCTACCCACACCATCTTATTTCTTAGGACAAAAGGAAATCAAAAAGTACAATTAATAAAAAACATTGCTATCAACATTCTTCAAGTGCCCTCTCGAGCTTAAAGGAATTAAGTCCACAATTAAGCTATGGCTACAGAAATTGTGGCAGGGGAGGGGGGAAAAAGGGTTTTTAGTATTCTTATTCCACACTGCCTACATGAACTGCCTTGGAGATTTCTCCCCTTCCAGGGGTGAAATCATCAAGGTCACAGGGAGTTTTGCCATTAACTTCAATGGGGCCAGGATTTCACCCCAGATGAATAAAGAAAGAAACTAAGAAGACTCTTACACACTACTGAGTCATATACAACCAGTATGGGCAACCAATCATGAATAATTTAAAATGAAAAAGACTGTTCTTAACAGACCAGTAATTTGGATCAGAAACTCATCACAGATGATAATGAATCCTGCACTGCAAATTACTGCAAGAGAATCTTACCTTCTTCTAAGAGCTGGGAGAGAGTTGATGGTCGGAATCCTGCAGGAACAGCTCCCATGGTTGCCAACACATCAATGGTATTATTCTGCTCAAAACATAAGGGTTTTTTTTCTAAATTTGCTGCAATTTTCACTAACCACGAACTAGTTTATGTCCTTATCCTAACTTCCAATCCCAGGGCAGCCAAACACAAAGGAGAACACACAAACCTTGGGATTCAGTCACCTGTTCCCCTAAGTTATCTTAAGAGCTATTTTGGCCTCTCAGCACAAAACATCCTTAGACTGACCTCATGGATGCTTACACACAACCTCCCATTTTGCTATACCACACTGACAGAACTTGCTTTGTCGAGAAATAGTGTAGCCATGGATTACACTGACATTACAACATTAAGGTAATATCATAAGAAATATACCCACCTCTGTGATAGCTTTTCTAACAGCACTCCAGTGAGAATCTGTTCTGTAGGTAGGGTGGGAAATAAAAGGACACCATAAAGCAAAACAATAGGAATGCATTGCCAACATATGGATGCATAATGAACAATTACTAGATCTATAAAACACATGCATCTGTCGCTGAATGGTGGTGGAAATCTAGTACATCAGGTGGATGTGCCCATCAACAGGTGGCTGGGAAACACATTACTATTTTGCACTCTGTGGAGTGGTTTATGAAGCTAGGACAGCAGCCACTCTTTGGTTTTATGAGGCAAAAAAAAAAAAAAACCCTAGTAAAGAAAGAAATGACTGGAAGTTGAAAGCAAAGTTCAAACTGGAAATCTACACAATAAATCCCGCTGCCCCTGTATTGAAAAAGCCATTGCTACAGACCAAGAGAAACGTAACTGACAAAGTATTGCATTTCAAATAATTTACCACCCACATTAAAAAAATAAAGATGACAAGGAGGGGGTTACATTTCACTTCATTTTCTCCAATGCAATCTCATTTTACCTTTTTTAATTTCGGTTTTATCTGCTGTTTCATCAACCACCTCTATGTCTTCCTCACTTTCCTCTTCACTTGGCTCTTGGCCAACTCCTTTATTGCATGCCTGTAATTCAGGGTTAAAGTTGTCAAGTGTTTTACCTACTTCATAGTTCAGACTTTAAAAACAGTATGAGCGCTCATCATGATGTCTCAAGCGCTTAGAAGAGAAGTTTAGCTGGTTATAATGGTCAGTGAACAAAATGACTGACATCTACAGGGTACCATGAGAATATGATGTTATCCTGGGTTCTGCAGCTAAAATCAATAATTTTACATTTTTTATGGCAGCAAGTTCCTTAAAATAGTAAACAAGAGAGCTCATTTCCAGAGCAAGCCTCCTCAGAGAGGAAAATGCACCTGAACCTTGAAGGACAAAGTAACCATAGCTACTTGATGTGCTCTGTGATTTGGCACTGCAAAGCTCTCTCACAAGAGAGAACCACCAGTGCAATGCAACAAGCTACAAAAGGTCAGACTTCCGGACAGGACTCAATCTACCCAAGTGGGTTATCTAAACGCAAATGTGTGCATCATGTTTTCTCATTAGACATCTACCCAATTTAAGTGCACAACTGCCATGTATGCACCTAAATAAGTCTCATGGGGCACAAAAACTTTGGCACAAAGTTAAAAGGAGCTTTTGAAAGTGTTCTTTAAGCTCAGAATATGAATTACTCTCTAGCACTACTAGGTATTCACAGCTGCCCTTACATGTCAAAGCTCACGTTTCCAGGGTTCCGCTTTTGTTTACAAAAAATTAACAGCAATATAATTTATCCTTGTGAAGTGAGAAAAAATGGTTTGCTAGCCATCTGTAGCAATATTCCCTCTCCCCATTCCTAACTCTGATGTCCAAATGCAAAG